TTGATGCCTTGACCAAATTTCGAGACAATAACAATGATGATTTGAGAGAGCTGGTGTTACTACTTTTTGAGTGAGCATTTTCGGAATAATTTAACAGGAATTCCCAGTAATCTAATGTTATTCTCAGCTGTCTGCATATATTTATGTCATTTGCCTAAATATGATGAGCCGCTTCTGATAATGATTTGAGAAGGGCACGAACCATAGCTCTTGAACCCACTAAAAGAGCTGTCTGTTTTTGAGAGGGGCTCTTATACTTCTTAGATTCTCTAACTAGGACTTTTTATTTCAGCTTTTTCTTGCGGTTACTCTGAGGGTTCTGAACCTTATCACTGATTCTGCTTTCGAACGAACTTTGTTCTTTTCCAGCCCTATCCCTATTTTGAACCAAGATAAAGTAAATTATTTTCAGGGCGGTTCATCCAGAATCCTTGAAATTTCGCGTCTGTTTCAATTTCATCACCGGCCGAACATCTCATCACCTAAATGAAGTCTTAATCATGCAGCTCGGTTCCATTTTAACTGAAAGTTTCAGAGAAAGCCAGTGAGGCAGTTTATTCGTCCATGTTTTATGTAGAAAAATTCTTATTACTGCATTCGTTGCAGCCCTGCTGACTGGGAGGAGTTTCGTGATGTTCTGCCGGTAAAACTCGCAGAGAATTTGCCGACCAATAAGAATGGCAACTTGCTGGATGCTGCGCTGGAAACAGCGTATATTCTATTCTCATTCAAAGGCATACCATTTGCTATACCTGACAGGTATCGAATCGCAGCATTTTCTCCAAACGATTTTTTGATAATGACTTTGTTAAGTATGTCCGAAGCTTTCACTGAAGCCATGTACAGCCTTGATCTGGACTTAAATAACGCTTTTCCTTTCCTCGTTTTATTTTCCAAGAGTCATCCTTTCTCGCCAAAACTAGGTGCGTCTCTTTTTGTTCCTTCATTCAATACTTACTTCTGTCTAGACAGAAAGTAATGCACGCAATGGGCTTCTATCAATCTTGGACTTGTATCTTTCCATTAGTACTGTTTTTGTGGGAGAAAGCAAACTAATTGTGTTCAACATCTTTCAATTTGTGTTTGGCCTTGGCGTTAAGCTGAACACATCCAAGCCCATGACCCTTCCTAAAAGTCGAGTGCATAGCGACTTTTAAAAGAGTCAGCCGTTGTTATTAGCTTCACCGCCAATCTTTTTTTTGTTTAGTTGGTATTACTTCGCCTACAGTACTTATTCCAAGCGTTTATCATCGGCATTTTTTGGCAAGGCAATTAGTGGAAGGTCTGAGAATCTATGTCGAGGAAAGTGAATACAGGTAGGCGCTGAATTGTTTCATTTCTTAAATTTCCCCAAAATTCGGTTCCCCTCCCTAATAAATTACCGTGATGGTAGATAAGAGGTGCGAGACTTTACGGGATTCACAGTGGAAGCAAGTATTATAATGAACTAAGTAGCGTGTTTGTCTTGGTACTTCAAACATTCATGTTAAAATGTAGTGTCTGTCTTTCAATAGGATTCCTATTTATAGACCAGATACCTCAATATTTTATGGGCAATAGAGTGAAAAATATGTTTTCAAAAAGGTTATTTTTCTGCATACACGCAAGTACTCAGCTACCAACCTACCATATTCATGAATGCCGAAAATGACCACCCGGTCTGAATAGATTTCCACCTCTACGATCATAGGTATTAAAATCGTTCATAATGAAAACACGACTTTCACAAATGGACCTGTGACGCATTAAAGTACCTCCGCCGTTACTTGCCCTCTGTCTTTTATTCCTGTTTTATTTCGTCGTTAGTGGTTTATGCAAAATCCATTTAGTCGCGACAATCACTACATCCAACCTATGGTGACAACTCTGGACGTCATTTTGAACAACCTGAGAGAGGTGAGCTCGAGCGACATCGATCCATGTGCTGTAAGTTATCAATTGTTAGCAATTCATTGAACTTCTTCAAGTTTTCTTCTTTTTCGCATCTTTTATTGACTGTTGTTTCGAATATTTGAGTCAGATGACCTATTGCTTTTTATTTTCACTCTTTTAGGACATGATACTATGCCTACTATCATTCATAGAAGATTTCGATCTACATTTCTTTCGCTTACCGATCATGACTAAATGTCAAGACATTATTCACTTATTTCCAAGCCAGCTAAGGTGTCTATTGCTCAAGCTTATTGTATCACGGCTTATTGAAGATGTAAGTGATTTACAAATTAAGAGGTAGCGTCTGCTATTTTGCATCGTGGCGATCAGATTTGGATTTCATCGAAAATCACGCTTTTAAATGTCTCATTATCGAGCTGAAGTACCAGTGCACTTCCAGTGAACGTTATGTTTGTAAAGAAAATCTGTATTAGCTACTCCCTTGAAGGGCAGAAGTCTCCGATAGCGATTGTTAGCAAACTAAAATTTTTTTCTTGCCCATAATGCTTGTACAGCAAGTTGCTCATGTCAGATGATAGTAAAGGGGGAAATCAACTAAACTTCCCCGGTATTACGCTTACGGTTAAAGGCACTGTTCATGATAAAAATGGTTCCAAAAACTTTCCATGGATGAATTCGAGGCCCCTCGCATATCATATCTGCCGCCATTAGGTCAGGAAACGGTCTAGACAGAGCGATATAAAGACTCAAAGATTGTCTCATATGCATACTCGGATGAGTTTCAACGGCATTGTAGATGCTGCACCATTCGCAAAGGAGCCCATGTAGGAAGTTCAAACAATTGGTCATGACTCACAGCGACAGCGAAAAGCAGTTCTGTACAGTTGTGGCTTGAAGTAGTCAGCTCTTTGCGCAAGAGCAACAACCGAATACACCTTCCAAGTTAGTTCCGTCATGGTAACCTCGTCCAACTATTTTCCCTACTTTTGAGAGGCCATATTTTTCTCTAAATCAGCGAATTCTCCCGCTTTCTTCGCTACCGATGAAGTATTTCCAATCCATACTTCTGCTTCTCGTCTGAAAAGGGATACCCAAAATTGTCGTGAACTTTGCCTTTAACCTAGTAATAAAGTTAGCTGCTGAAGGTGAGTAGCAGTGGCATGTAACGTCCTTCTGTCTTACTTTTGGTTGACATAAATAGGTAAAGCAATTATAATTACTACAGCGGCGCTTCAGAGCAGTATTAGGGCGCGTCAACGTCTGAAAGGGGATGTGGGTGGCGTCCCTTGTTTTTTGCCCGTTCTCTTCTCCAATACTTGTTTATATGGTTGAGTAAGTAAAATCTGCAAAGTTGTGTAAGAACATTTCTCTGTTAACAGCACTGTGGCATGTCCTAATACCTATCTCTGTGAAGCAAGTTCAAGTTAATTATTTGCAGGACGAAGTGGATTTTGACAATGAATCCAACTTAGTAGCGTGGTTTATCGATCTCTACAGAAGGTATCTGCATGAAAAATCATTTCGTGAGGAACTGGGCAGCTTTTTGAGAGTACTGGAAGAAGTTCGCTATCGTGATATGTTGGAAGCAACTAATTTTTATTCATCTGTATTTTGTTTGGTGCAATTTATAGCTATGACAGGGTGAGCTTCTTGTTTACTTGATTTTCGAATTACATTTAATTAATTTTTGAGCAATTATAGAATCATATCTATATAATAGTTATGCGAACGAAACGGCGAAAATATCCTTATTTTTTGTGTGTGAGTTATCCAGTGGCCTGTTGATTGCGTTGCTACCGCTCGCGTCTTTGCCACGTCATTGCGGGTATTTAGCAAAGGAAATAGTTTTTGGACTTTCATGAACTTTGTATGCTCATTTCTAGATCTATGGCATAGGAAATAGGCGGAGGGTAGTTCCGTGTGGGGACCCTTAGCCGAGCATACTGTAGGAATAAGGGTTCCTAGAGCAATTTAGTCTCCCTCTGCCAGTCTCTGTCTGACCTGTTGTATTTGTTATTTTTCTTATTAGTGACGAGCTGGTACAAATAGCACTGATCTCTTATCAAGAGACCAATGGCCCACATTTTTTTAGTCAAACATTACACTATCCTACTTTATATAATT